GTTGCCCCATCTGAGTCCAGCAGTGAACAGTTACTTCCGTGACTATTTCCGGTTCTGCTACTCCCCAGCCTTCCCTAAGGGGTAAAGGGTATTAGGATTACTTTGACACTCAAGAGGCAGACATACAGTTAACACTGTCTCTGGCTCATCACTGTATCATGGGTGCTCAGGTAAACTTCAGGAAAAATATCTGTCCTCTCTTAATTTCTGTCTGTTCTGCCTATCATGGCTCGTCGAGGGGTTTGACTGTGGTTTTACCATGAGCTATAAAAATACTTTGCAAATCAGAAGGTTGGCTAGTTTTGCTGCTCTTTGGTCTGCCACATCACTGCCGTCAGTGCTTTGGATTCCTTGCAGCCTTGCAATTTTCTCTTGGTTTCCTTTGTGAGCACTCCATTTTCCCCCTTATCTTCCCAGCTCAGTTCCTCTCTACAAATCTGAGTTCTTTGATGCATTTTTTTCTTTCTTTCCTGCTTCACGTCAGTGGGATTCACTATGGAGGTTTCATTCTAAATCTGAAACATCAAACGTTTGTTGTTTGTAACAGACACTGTTATTCTTGCATTTCAGATGTACTGTTTTTCTTTCTGTTTCTGTGCTTTCTTCATTGGAGATTGGTAGTTTTTGATTTAGGAAAGACTGAATTTTTTTTTTTTTTTCCAGAGGAAGCTCCTCAACTGCCCAGGCATCTGTACCGCTTAAGGTATAGAGGTATAGACTCTGCAGGTCAGAGGAGTTAGACTTGGTTCAAGAGGTGGAATAAATTCACACTTGGTATTGTCACCTTCTTATGTCTGTTGTCCAGGTCACCTGTGCTTTACGCTAAAATAATCTGCATTAGGCAAACGATCTAAGATGCGCTTTTGATTGTTGAAATCTCATCACTCTGACTAATTCCTTTTCGGTCTGCAGGCGTTTTCTTGGTCGGTTCTTGATTCTACTTTAAATAGAAAAATACAGCTCAAGGCATTAGGGAGTGGTGGATCAGCTTTGTGAGAACTGCGTGAACAGCACTCCTTAGGTGCTGATGAAGGAGAGGGGGAACAAAAACACTAGAAAAAAACACTTAAAAACAATGTGGATCCAAAGCAAAAAGGTAATTAGGGGTGACCAGGCAGAGGAGAAGCTGGGGAAACGGCAGTGAGGAGAAGGGGGAGACCACTGTAAGAGACGAAAACTGAAAAAAGGTAAAAGAAGGTAGCAAGAGTTTTAAGAACAGCTGTCCAGAGTGACAAGAAACTCTTATCGTAAGAGAGCTCTGGAGTCAGGAAAAGAACCTGACGACTGCAACAGCTAGCGTAACTGACCTTGCTTCTCGTTTGGGAGGGAGACGTGTTTGAGAGAAAAACAGAACTTAGTTTGATTTAAGGAGAGAGGAGAGGGAGCACCATTCTTTAGTCACAGCAAATGAGCAGAGAAATAGAAGATGGGTTTTAATGTGCTCGTCATCATAAGATGATATGTGTGGAGAATAAAACGTGGAATGCTTGTGTGATTGGTTGGGATTAGAAGAGGTAGGAATGAAGTTTAGGATTACAATAGAGGCAGACTTTCGGTATACAGCAGTGGCACAGAGCCAACAGATGTCATGTTGCATAAATAGAGGAATAGGGTTCAAAAGCATAGATGCCAGTAAGCCTTTTACATAGGACAGAAATCTGCTCGTGTCAGCAGGTAGGAGAGAGAGAAAAGTTGAGTGTATTAAGACACAGACCTCTTCCTCTCAAAAAGAAGAGTGTGCAATATGGGTTCCGCTATTGTTTACTTAGTCGGTCTTGCATAGATTTCTTCAGTGAATGTATCCTGTTTGCACTGGGGATAGTTAGGACAGTTTTTAGGACTGCTGCTCAAAGTTAAGGGATGCCTGACCATAGGATGGGTTGGGAAAATGTGACTGGGACATCTCTGAGCTTATGATGTTGTGCGGCTGTGTCTCATGAGAGGTGTAAGGAAAAGCTTTATATTGAGCTGTTGTTTCTTTTAGGTCAGGCGCTGTGGCTGCCAACTTATTTAGCATTAGTAGGAAGCCTCTCGGAACAAATCAAATAGCAGCCAAGTGACAGGCCTCTTTTTCCTCAGGAGAACTTGAGTTATAACATTTGCTACTTCTATTACTTTTCTGCCACCTCTGTCCTTTGAGGACCTCTGTCTACAAGGTTAATCTTCTTTGGAAGTCTAGCCTATAAGTGATTGATTCTTTCCACGTACAATCCCTTAGTATCTGTTTTAGAGATCTCTCACCAGTGGATTTTCGTAGGGCTGCTGTCTTTTACAGGGCCTTTGAGGCGATCTGCTGTGCTAGAAATCGGATGATAACCATGTTAGTCATCCTGATCTTTGTGGTGGCAGTCTTCCTGGTGAATTTTGTAAGGAATAGTCCCCTATATCCAGTTCCCACTGTGTACCAGAGGTAGTTTTCTCCTCTTTGTGCAGCACTTGGCTAGAATAGTGATGATGTTCTCTAGACGCTAAAGGATGGTTACCGTTTCTCAGATTTGAGAATCGGTGAAGTGTTTTGCATTGCCAAACTCACCAAGAGGTTTATCCTTTGGGCACCCCTTTTTCATACTAAGTAAGAAAAGAATGGAATTCTGTTTTGGTTACCAGCATTATAAAACTTCTTCCCTCGCTGTGGGGAGCCTCAGTAATTGCCAGATCCAGCATGGCTAGGAGTCCTTGGTTCCCTGACCTTTCCATGGAGAATGATGTAGCTTCTGTCCTTTGCAGTCCTAGTTTGGTGGGACGTGGCTGATGCAAAATTTCTGCCTTGTTTATATGGATTTCATTTTGTTAGAGAATGTAGTGTGAAGGTTGGATGGTTTAAGACCCAAGTGAATTACATAGCTCCCTAGTGTGCTGTGGCAGGAGATTGGTTCCCTGGTTGATAAAGGATCCTTTGGCATATCCCTCTGTTGCAAAGTTAAAGCACCACTGCCTTGAACTTTTCTTGTTTAGTATTTTACAGCTATTTTTGGAGCAGCTAGCTGAAGCACTTCTCTAGTTATTGAAGCAAGTTTTGGCCCATGATCTTGGCCAGAGTCTCCTCTGTATCAAATGTTCTCTTATGGTCTGGCATGAGCCAAGTGCAGCACTGGGAGCTGGGTCCACGCTTGCCCTGTGTGACAGTTCTTGTAGATGAACACTGTTTGCTTGGCTTGGATTTCATTGCAGAAAAGTTGCTAGCTAGGGGTCTGCTCACCATAGGTAGTTGCTCCTAATAGGAATTCAGGGTCATCTTTCCGTGTATTAAGACTGTGGGAAAACCAGAATGGTTGTATGTGTCCCAAAGGTGCACTGGTCAGTTCCGTGCCTGGTGTGGGAACCCGTAGAAAACTCATGATTTCCTGCACTTCCCTCTGGTAGTAAATCTTTCATAGACTTTTTGGCCATGTTAGTTATCTCTTTTCTGGCCTGTCTTCACTTCAGCAATCTAGATCAGGACACTGGGCTGGGGAGGAGATCTCCAGATTCTCTGGTGCCTCCACAAAAGCGCTGACAAACCTGCTCCACGTTTATCATGTAAACCAGGGTATGGAGAAAGTTCCCCTTGTTCTTGCCTATTCTTTACCTCTGAGGTGGAGCAGCTCGCTTTGCATAGGTCTTCCTACTGTCGATGCACTGTAAAGAGATGGTCTCCTGAGGGAGCCGAGAGTGTTGAACTACATGTTATCCTAGTACCCTAGGCGCGTTTTTCTTAAACGACAATGGTGAACTTTTTGCTTGGATGTTTGCCATCGCTTTTTGCGTACACTCACACTCGTTGTGAAATACAAATCATCAGCTTTGCATGGGTGAGGTCAAAGCCTGATCTTAACTTCTGAGCAGATCTTTCCCAGCCATACCCTTCAAAAAGCCCGTAATTTTTAAAAAGCAGAAACTTTGTGCTTGCGCTGGCACATTGCTTCTTCCCAGTCAGACTTCAGCTCTGTCCTTGAACAGTTCTTGGACAGTATAATTTCTCAGTAACGTGAAGGTTTAGGGATGCGCCTGCCTGACTCATTAGCTTGTAGCTGCTCCAGGAGCATTAGAAGAAAAAATACCCCAGGAGGATGACTTCCATTCTTTGTGTCAGGAATCATTTTGTCACTCGAGCCACCACAGAGATCCCACAGGGCCTAGATCGTGACAGCAGGCCTGGCTTTTTGGGAATACTTTTCCCGAAACGGCTGCTTTATCAGTGGTGTAGACCTGAGCAAGCCAGCATGCCCACTGTCCCTCATGGAGCCCGTGCTGCGCTGGCTCAGGAGGGTACCAACTGCTCTGTTGGTCTGCTGCTCATGCAGGCGCTTGGCCGCCACAGTGATTCCCTCAGGAGTCCTTGAAATGACTTTGGGCCATCTCCTTCGGCCCACTTTTGTAAATCTTTGTCTGGCAAACAAATTCTTACTCCTCTGCTGGTATGTTGGCTGAAGATCTGTTCTTTCCTCCTAAAAGCTGCCAGTTGAATTAAGCCTGCTGCCCTCAATGTAATGGGCACAGCTGATGGAGGAGACCTTACTAGGTCATTGACTCTATCCTGACCTGTGCAGGATTTGTATACAGCTAAAGGGGGGAAAAATCTAATACGTGTTTTGTTTAATAATAACAAAGCATCTGGCATAAGCAGGAGAGAGCCTAGGGAGGACATCAGCTCTTTCCAAGTGCAAATTCTGTTTCGGTGTAGTTTTCACAGAGTGTTTTTGGAAACGTGTTCCAGTCATTTCTAACAAACGGCAGCGTGGACTTTCACCCCCATTCATGTAACTTTTCACATGGATTTCAACATTGGCTTCCCGTCAGAGCTTTGGGATTCCACAGAAGAAAGTTCCTCTCTGTGGAGCTGTGAATAGTTTGACTTTTTTCCAATACTTTTGTGAAAGTGAAGCTCGGTCACAGCGCGTTATTAGGCTGCCAGTAGCCATGCTGTTGACCCCTCCTCCACAGTTCAAGTCTCTTCAGTGGAAGAGGTGGAGCTTGAACTCCTGTGCTCCTGTAAACCCTTTTCTATTGGGAAGTACCTCTCGGCTGTGCTGCAGACAGGAAACAGCATATTATTACAGTCAGCGCCTGCCTCTCGACTTCACTGCCGGCAGAAGGAAATCTGTCCCAGCTCCTCCTCAAGCAGACAGCTAATCAGCTTGTGGCAAGTGGAACATAGCTCCAAAAGACTGACCACAGAGGAGACTAATCCTATTAATCACATGTCAGTCTGTTGAGTTTTTTTCTGAGGGAGTAGGCTGCTGTGAGCGCTAGTTTAGAGGCAGACTGAACGCGAATGGTACGAGCAGAAATCTTAGTCTTCTGGACTGAGCGTTGAGGAAAAACTGCACCTGTTCCAGCATAACAGATCACCAGGATACAGATTCTTTGGAGTAAGTGTGCTACAGGCTCTCGTTGTTCGGGCGATCTCTGCTGCTCTCCGTGGGCTTACGTGGATAAGTTCTCCAGAACTGGAGTAAAGGGGAATATGTCTGCAGTGCTGTTGGAAGTGCTGCACCCATCAGTTAAGAAATATTATTTGCTAACTGATGATTCACCCTAATGAATGTCACAGGAGAGAGGAAGGTTCAGATTAGGGTAATGTCTTTCTCCTTCAGCGAACTTGCATGACTTGAGGCAACGAAGGCTGTGGCAGTTTGAGAAATACGAACTTGCTGGTGCCTTTGGAGGAGAGCACATTGTCACCTCTGAGAGGCGGTATGGATGCCGTTGTCCAGCTGCACGGAAGCCTGAGGTGTGACTACAAATTCATTTTTATTAGCACCTTGTAATTTAGTACTAACTTTATTCAGGAGCAAAGATGCCAGCCTCTGTCTTGTGAAGTTGTATGTGACCAGGTGATCTCCTTCAGATGGTATGTTTTTTCTGTATAGTCCCAGGGCTTGAAAGTGCTGTGGAGAAACAGCATGAATTTTAATTTGAGAGTAATTAACCTGTCCTAAAAACACAAGGCAAAGTGCTTGAACTTTATCAAAAGGTAAAAGTGCGGAGGGTGGTTCCTGGTGGGGAGAGTGTGTTGCTGATGTGTGCAAATTTATTTCACAACCAAATGAAAACGCCTTTGCCTTTTCGGTGGTTTTTGTGTCAAGGTAGATCCTTAGCGTTAGCTCTTTTGATGTGAAAATACATCCTTTTTAGCAGCGGAGGCAGTGAAGTCTTCTCTGAAGAGTTTGGTGTTGACTGAGTGAAGAGACAGAACTGTTCAAGCTCCGTATGGGACAGAAGCTCTGCTGCATGTGTTTAGTTCAGTAGTTGTGTGACTGTAAGGCACTGCTGAAGTGAGAGGAACCAGGATCAGGAGTTACTTGTCCTGGTTTAAAATATAAGCTTCAGGAAAGAACACGTGGCTTGTTTTTATCAGGAGAAAGAATATAAGAACTTTTGTTACAAGCTGTTTGCAGAAAGTCAGGCTTGGACTTCGAGCTTGGGCTGATATGGGATCAGGAAAACGCGTGTGGCTTGACACTTGCACGGATTCCCCCAAACTGCCCCATGTGGCCTCAGCTGCTCTATGAAGATGAGCCTGGAAAGTGTCCTTCGGGGAGTAAGGAGCTCCCTAGTGAGGGAGGGCTCCTTCTGCATGGGGCTGATAGGGCCGGAGGGTAGAAGTTGGCTCGGAGAATCAGGCAAAAGAACTTCTTGTTTTCAGGATATGCCCAGTTGTGCGTGTAGGGGAATCACCAAGCTTCTTGGGAAGAGATGGTTCCTCATCCTGTTCCTTTCCCCGCAGACAGACTTGGATTGCCTTGTTAAGGTTTTATCTGCCTGTGAGAAGAGAAAGATCAGAAAAGATGGTCTCATGAAAGGAATGACTCTCCCCCGCCTCTTTTTTTTAAAGCGTCCTCTCTAAAATGGGCAAACTCACAGCGCCCGTCAGAAAGTCAGGTTCTGCTGGGGGGTGTTGTCTCTTCCACGCCCCTGCGTGTGTACGCGTTCAGAAGCTGCGCGCTCTCTGCTAGTGTACGTACTCTGTCTGTTTGTATTGGCAGCTGTCAGAATTTCCTTTATTAGCAACTGAAAATATGACTTGAGTCCAGAATCGCCATGTCCAGAATCTTGCTGCTCTCCCCTGCCCCCCTTCATTAAGTGCAGTTCGGTCCCCGTTTCCTGTCAGAACCGCTGCAGTTTCAAAATACTTTGCTATTTTAGTCGTCTGTAATCCAGGCTTCAGTACGTTTTCTTCTGCTTGGGAAAAGGCCCTTTGGTAAACAGACCATTCTGAGTCACTGTTAGTCAGTGAAAATAGTCATTTAAAATCCTTTCATGTCTAGGACTCTTAATCCGGTCTCCTACCGGATCTGGTCATCAGTCTGCTCAGACAAGAGAAGGGAAAGTCTGGAGAAATAATATCTAAGAGAGGACAAACAAGGAAGAAGAGTTAGAGTAGAGGAAGAGTCTGGAGGAACTTGCTCTGGGTGGAGAGATCTGGTGGTTGTTATTGTACATTACAGAAAGACCCAAAATATGCTAGGAGTTTTTCGAAAAGAAAAAGCTGCTGTAAGAGAAAGGTCAGTTCTCCTGTGGAGAAAGGGATAGGTAGGGGGATGGAAAGTGAAGGTGACTGTTTGTGAAGAGCTTTTGTTTCCCTAGAGGGCAGATTATGGCTTTGAAATTAGTGTCTGTCATTGCCCTTGTGCCTGAACACTAGTGGCTTTTGTCTGATAGTGTTTGTTCTTTGTAACCTTCCCACGTGTTCAGGGTTTAATCTGTCCTCCTGAACAGCTCTACAGTTTCTAGCATCTTTCTTCTCTTTCAGGTGAGGACACAAAGGCAGAACAGTTCTGTGGTAGAGGAGGTCATTTGAGAACGCATTGGATTTAATTTTACACAGAAGTTGCTGTAAAGAAAAAGAGTTTTTATGCACATCCTTAGTCTAGTCTTTTTGACAGGCAGGGAGAGACTTAACTAGTAACGCTCACAGAAATGAGATCTCTCCAGTTGCCTTCCTTGTGACGCTTGGGACTGTTGTAGTGTTGCTGTACATGAAACAGGACTGGTGTTTGCCTGGAGACCCAGTGTGAAAAGCTCCTGGGTTCATCAGGCTGTTGACAACTGCTGCTTCCCTTTTGTTCTAGCTACCAGCCGCTTTTCAACGCCGCAGCGGGGCCGCGATTTGCTGTGGCTAACGATAAGCTGTCAGGAACAGGTCATTTTCCTACCGTACATAGACAAGACCTTTTATTACTCAATTCTGTAATTTGTTAGCTGTTAGCCTTGATGTGTGCGAGACCACTGAGACGGCAGCTCTGTCACTGGGGAAGGCTGCCCCTCTGTTCTTCATGGTTTTGCTTCTGTTTGAATGAGTAGGAAGGTTTGTCTGAAGTATCCTTTACCTTCCCAGTTGTGCAGCTCTTTCTGAATAGTGTAGTTCTGTTTGGGAACTCTTTTTCCAGGCAGGACTGCATCCTTTGGAAAACAGGTGGAGAAAGGGTGTGTGCGTGCATCCTGCATGGAGTGGAAGGGAGGTGGTTAACGGCGCTGTGTTAAGACGCTTTGGCACTTGGAATGGCAGCCCTGTCTGTTCCGGTTTGGTGCCCCCCTCCTCCATACATCTTGAGTGATTAATATGCAGGAATTAGTAGAATTGTCTGCGTTTCATACCTGCTAATTGTGACAAAGACCGTCTTTACAAATTCTAGGTTTTGACAGCTATTAACCGGTTGCAGAAGTCCTCGAATCTCCCCTTGTTTGTGGTGTTCTTACCGATTGCCAAGAACAGGAATGTGCCTTGTTTAGGAACGGTTTCCAGAAGCGTGTAGGAATGTGACCCTGGTAGCAGAGATGATCATTTTCCCAGGGAACACTCGCTCTGGCCAGCTTTCCCACTGCAGCATCAGGAAAGATAGAGACTGGGAGAAAGCACAGATGGAGGGTCGACACGAGCTGGACTTTATCTGCGGGCACAGTGTAGCAGCAGTAAGTGTCAATGCCAGCGCTCAGAGCTAAGATGCGCTTCAGATGTGCAGACACCTAGCGCATGACGTACGTATCACAAGACAAATGAATCTAATAATGTAAAAATGGTCCTAAAAGAGACAAAACCACATCATACTTGTTTTTCTATGGAATTGAGCTGTCCTGGATTTTACAGATTGAAACTTAAGGTAAAAGAGCCACATGGAAGTCAAAGATTAAATACCAGGTATGGTATAGCCAAAAGTTTGGGCACCTAGAGCTTTTGCAAAAATCTTGTTATTAGTATTAAAAAAAAAAGGGGGAGGGGGGGAAGGATTTGGCACAAGTATGAGAACATTAACCATTTGTTTTGTTTGATGGAAATGAAAGTTTCCTTAAGTGGAAATGATTATTTTAGCAGGGAAAAAAATATTGCACTATAAAAACATATATAAAACTGGTGCATTCCTGAAGTATTGTATGAAAACCTTCTTTTTCCTTCCCTTTCAGGGAGACATCTAGGTTTTGACTAAAAAGAGTTGGTGAGCGTTGGGTGTGTGTTGGTATTTGTAAATGTTCTACGACACTGCTAGTTCTAGGGAGCCCTGACTGATTTCGGCAGTGAGTTATCAGGACTGAAGTTACTGGCAAAACTGAGTGAAGGCTGAACTGCAAATCGTTTTTTGGAAGAGGGTTGTTGTCCATAAAGGAAAGGAAGCCTCAGTCGCTCGCTGAAGCTAAGCATTGATGCTTCTTATTATTTCCTCTTTCTTCCAAACTAGAGCCCTCCTAAAATCGCACCAGCTTGGTGTCCCAGGCTTTGCTGTCCTAATGCTCAGCTCCAGGTTGTTTCAGAAGATGGCATCAATGACGCAGGCTTAAAACTTTAAGCGTAAAGGACTGGTTTGAATCTGAAACTCGCGCTTGCATTTTCCTTTTTATTCCCTTTCTGAAACTTTTTTTTTTTTTGTCCTTTTGATTTGGTAGATTTGCTGAGGGAGCAGCACTTGCTTAATCCACATGCTCCCTTTTGGGAGCATTTTGTCCTCAGCGAGTTTAGCAATCGTGTTTGAAACATATGGTGGCTTTGTTGATTTATGGATCTTGCTGGTGAACACAGGTGAGGCATTTTTACCTTTGCTGCTACTCATTTAACTACCGCTGTTGCTGGAACTGGAGCTGAAGCGGATAAACGGCTGAGTCCTCCTCATTGTATTCTCACCTCATTTTCCTTTCTGAGTTTTTTGCTCCAATATACAAAAATAAATGAAATAGTTAGCTACAGTTAGCGGGCATTTTTCCTGCCTGTGCCATATGTGATCAAGCTGAAGTTTTTCTCTGCACCGGTAACACCTTCTTATCTTGTTAGCTCTTTTGTTTTTTCTAGATGTGATGCCTTGGTCCTTTGAAGCCCCGGTTTAAATATTCCGGGATGTCTTGGAGGGACTTAGGGCTAACACCTTTGAACATAAGACTATCTTTGAACAGGATGTGAGTAAAAGGAAGCCGTCAGAACGAGCAGGTGTTCTCGTACACCCGCTTTTGGCTACTTTGAGAAATGTGTCACATCAGAAGAACTATATTTAGCAGAGTTTTGTGCCCCCTCACCCCGAGCCTTTCTTCAGCCAGCTCTGTGATTGGGCCAGTATGATCTTAACTTGTTTTTCTGTCTCTTGTGGTCACTGAGCTCACCAGATCCACTCTGATAACAAACAGTCTCACTATGTGTTTGGCCAAACCGTCACTCTTTTGCTGAGAAGTTTCTGGGCAGTCCAAAAAATTCTGAAGGAGGAAATGAGCAGAATCGATAGCTTCGTCTTTGATGGCAACAAGAGCAGA